CCCCACCCCCGCCCCACCGCATGGTCGGTGCATACATGGGAGAGAGCAGGGCTGTGCGCATACTAGGTGCTCAGTAAAGACTTGGACAGTCTTTACTTCACTGCTCTCTTCTTCCTTCTCCTTCCTAATGCTTTTCCAAGGGCGTCAATGTGGAATAAGGTAAAAACAAAAACAACCCTGCATGGGCTCTAGAAACCTACGTTTGAGCCCCAGTTCTAGCTCTTTCCTCCCTAAGCTTCCTCATTTCCAAATAGGAAATAATGCAAACTATTTTGTAGTTTTGTGAAGAGCAGGTGCAATCATGTCCATGAAAATGCCTTGTCAACTGTGAAGGGCCGAGCAATGTTTATTATTATTGGGCTCAGCAATCAAGGAGCTGGCCTTTCTAAGGCAGCTGCATTACAGCCCAAATACCTCTGGAATCTGTCCACAGACCGTGTAGGCATCACCTTTCTTTAGTCAGGCTGCTCTTCTTTCTCCTAGATAATTGGAACAGCCTCCCGATTGGCCTCATGGCCTCTGGCCTTACCCTCCTCAACCCAGAGTCATCTTTCTAAAGGGCGTATCTGACTTTGTCAATCTCATGCTTAAAATCCTTCAGTGACTGCTCATTGCCCTCAAGATAATAATCCAGATATTCCAGTTATGTGATTTTGGACAAGTTCCTTAACCTTTCTGTGTCTTAGTTCCTCATCTGAAGTTGGGATAATGATGCCCACCTAGAGAGGTACCATTTGTGGAGATGCCATGAGACAGTGGTTGAGGAGCATTTAGCACAGAGCCTGGCATGTAGGAGAGTCTCAATAAAGGATTCCTGAATGAGTGAATGAATGAATGACTATGGTACCAGTAATTTTTGATGACCACCACTTTTAGGGACTGGACTTAAGAGAAGTAGGCTTTTCTCTCTCCTTTATGTCATGTCCTCTTTCCTGTGGAGTTTCCTGAGTGAGGATGTCATTGGTGAACCCCATTCTCTCTTCTTTGTAAGAGGAGGAACCAGCCTCCTGGGGCAGGGGACGGAGATTTAGTTTCCATTATCCTTCTTTGCCCAAATGAGTCCTCTCTTCACTTGATCACAGAAAACACACGGAATATATAACATATCCAGAAGGCCGTCTAAAGTGGGCAGTATGCTGGGATAAGGGTGAAGAGGGAATTTGCTGTCCCTTCCCATGAAAAGGACTTTCCTTCTCTCCACTTGGGCTGGTTTTAACAGAAAATCAGACTCACCCGAAGTCACATAGTAGGGAAGGAACACCCTTAGGGAACAGGTGATGTGTTGTTGTGATGTGACAAGTCCTATCCTTTGGGCTCCTGAAAGAAACGTGTACCCTTTGGAATTCAAAGGAGGAAAACAAGCTTTGGTTGATGGTGCATCATTCTTTCTAAGACCCCCTTATCAACCACCAGTGATCACCTCATTCATCCTCCAGGTATCTTTGTGAGTGAGGAAAGGAAAGCTCTTGCCTGTACATTTTAAAGATGGAGCAATAGGGGCACAGAAACATATTTGTGACTTTCCCAAGTCTGTGTAGTTCGTGGTAGACTTTGAAATCGACAGAAAACCTTGTGACTCTCGAACTACACCCCCAACTCTGTGGGCTAACAATAGGAGATTCAGCCCACCTGCCCCTCTACCCATTACGCCTCTATTACATGTAGAAGAGGGTTGTCTCCAGACCTTGCTGGGTTCAGCATCCTTTACTGGAACCAGGTGAGATTCAGTGAGATCTGCAGGTGTTTCCTCTGCCCGTCTTTCATTGACTGGTTGTTCTGTGGGCATTGTCTAGAAAACTTGCCTAGGAGATGGCCAGAAAGATGTGAAACACTCAGTAATATGCCGAGAGCTCAGTGGAGGAATCACAGGCCATCAGGCAAAAGGCAGCTGACCACTGAGTCTGCTGTTGTTGTCTTCAGTCCAGCCCTGGACCTCAGAAGTACGATTCAAAGGAAAAGGGGCTCATCTATGCCCCCTCAGTTATATTATACTTTTAAATGGACTTTCACAGGAAATTAAGCCTTCAGTGTGTGCTAGCAGAGAAAGATTTTTGTTTTGTTTTTCTTTTTCCAAAGGATGTTTTGAAGGTCACTATTAAACTTGCGGTTGAAAGATAATGAACTTAGGTATCACTTGTGGAATCTGCAGCCAAATATACCACCACTAAAATATAAATATTTGTTCTTTTGCAGTCAGTATCTGCAGAACAGTAAGCGAAAGAGCCGGCCTGTCAGTGTAAAAACATTTGAAGATATCCCGTTGGAAGAACCAGAAGTAAAAGTAATCCCAGATGTAAGCACATCTTTTAAAAATAGTCTTAGAAATAATACCAAAGGTGAAACATTAGCTAGATAAATATTAACCTAAGCATTAGAGACTTGAAGCCTCATTATAAGGCTGTCCTTGAGGGTATGTGTGATGGGGCCATTACAGCAATGGAACTTATTGGGCCCCCTTGGTTTTTCCATAAGCAAAGCCCCTGGTCTAAGGTTCAAGACAATCCAGCTTCATGCCCAATTCCCCTCAAGCGTGCATAGCGTCATTGTGAAAGAGGGATAGAAACGGGCCTCCTCGGCTTTTTCTTCCTAAATTTCTCTCTTCTTCCAGGCCTGCGTCTATTTCTTGGAAGCAGTTACTTCCTTTTATAGCCTGCACGGTTTCTGGCTATGATACCTTTACCTGCCTCTGCAGAACGTGGGAATGTTGTCTGATAGATGGGTTAGGAAATCAGTTTAATTAAGTAATGGTTCAGTGTACACAATCAACTGTGCCATCTCATTGTCTCTTAAAAAGGACAACCAGACGGACAGTGGTATGGTTCTTGCATCCGAAGAGCTGAAAACCTTGGAAGACAGAACCAAATTAGCCCCATCTTTTAGGTAAGGCTCAGCCAAAATAGAAGGACAAATTTCAACAGGAACTTTTGGAAGGAACCTAGGACTTTGAGCGTAGGTGCAGAGTTATCCCTTTTTGTGTCTTCGTTGGTTGGGCAAATTTGCATCAACCTAACTAATAAGGAATGGAAACAAATCAAACTAATTACCTGGCAAGTCTAAAAAAGAATCTGAAATAAAAGGATTCGGTCAGTTTTCATGAGAATTTATGAATACTAGGGGATTCTTGAGCATATTTACTATGGTCCGTGGTTTGTGTGGTACTGGCTAAGTAAAAAAGAGGTCATTGGATGTGATCCTTAAAACTCTTGAGATAGTTAAGATCTTTGTGCACTCTACTCTGAAGAATTTTCAAACTTGAACAGAAACGGGTACACCTGTCTTTATGAAATATAATGTATAAAGAAGCCATTATCTTTTTGCTTAAGATACTTAAATATTTTGGGCTGAATTATTAAGTACTTAATTGTGGGAAAAATGCTGAATTTGGTTTTGAGTATTTCTTCCATGTGATTCTGTAGGAATTTGTAGCTGTTTTGAGTAGATATACCTGCTTTTAACTTAACAAATAAATAAGATTCTGTATTTATAAGAATATTGGGATTCAGAGTAGTTATTTATTTGCTAGCAGGTTCACTCTAGGTGCGAATAGAGAAGACTTTGATCTACTTATAATCGAACTGTTGGATAAAATGGGACCACCCTTGGTATCGAGTGATGCTCATGTAAAACAAACAAACAAACAAACAAAAAACCCATTAAAATGTGCCATTGTGCCATTTCATTGTCTGCCATAGGCCCAGGATGAGAGACTGTGAGAGCCAATCATATGTTTCATTCACTGATTCAAATATATTTGTTCAGCAATGAATAGGTACCATGCCATTGTCTGAGACACTGAGCTCCTTTTACTGAGGTTGGATTGAAAGAAAAAATGTATATCTAGTCATTTGAAATAACTTTTAAACCATATATGAACACAGAGTTAATAAAATCCTTTTTTTGCAGTTTTTTTTTTTTTTTTTTTTTTTGCGTT